AAGTGTCTGAGAAAGATAAAGAAATAAAGCATGAAACATCTAATGACTCTGAAGAAAGAGAATGAAAAGCTGAAGAAAAAAGATGGGAAAGATGTTTCCGATTCTCAAGTATCTGAAGTTGAAATGGAGGAAAGTGATACTACTGTTTTTAAAGATCAAGCAGTAAAAGAAGTGGCTAGTAAAGCATCTGAAAAAGGTGAAGAAATAATTCATGGAAATAAAGTTTCTGTCTCAAGTGCCTGAAGTAGAGATGCGACTGTTAAGTTTATAGAAACTGAGAGTGAAGTTACAAAGTTGCAGTTAGCAAGTATTGAAAACTCATGTGATTCAGTGATGAGAGAAGCTGATCCACAGCTTAAGCAGAATGCTGCAGTAAAATACATCCACTTCATAAACTGGGTGTGTGTCTCTTAGTGCAGGCTGTGCAGACACGAACTTGATTCTAAACTATAATACCTGTGTTTGTAAAGAATTGGATTCTATTCACAAGTCTAATGCAAAATTTTGAACTGGTTCTCTAGAAATAGAGGAAAATAAGCATATACCAACTGCTAAAAATACTGTGGTTAACGGTACACATGATGTGAATAAACTACAGTGCGGTGAGCAAAGTGTTTCAGATCTTCCTGTGGATAAAAAATCTGAAAGGACTGAATATTCAGACTGTGATATGCAAAACAGAAATACATCTGAAAAGTGCAGTGAAAGAGTATTTGATCTGGGTATAACTTAATGAAAAGCCTAAGATTGAAATTCATTCTGAATTTTAATTTATATAATTTAAAATTGTTATGTGGTTTATTTTTGTATACAAGTTTTACATAGTGTAAATATTTGTTTCTTTATTTATGTTATTTTTTTGTTTTGTTACATTTTGTTTGTATCCAATGTGGCTTCTGACCAAGAATTGTACTGCCTGGGACGTGCAGTCCTTGGGAGGGGGCTGTGTTATGAAATGCCCAGCTGTGGTAAGATACCTTCCCTGCAAAGTGGGTTTAGGGTTGCCATAAATGGCAAGGAAAAGTAGGGTTGCCATATTTGGTAAGAAATAGCCCATTTGGCAAAAAAATTGGCTATAAACCATAGACAGATGGAGAACCTTCTAGAATGAATTCTTACCATTTTGTACCAGAATGTTTTCAAAGGCAACCGAAAAGCTATATAAACCCTGCCTGCACGTTGAGTAGCAGTGAGTCAGTCAATGCCTAGTCTAGCAAGCTGATTGTCACTGATGATTGATGATTGAGTCAATGCATAGTCGTCGAGTGTATCACAATAGTGTATCGTTTGTGTATCATGAGCTAGTACATTACGAGAGTATCTTGTCAGTGTATTGCGAGTTGGTATATCATTGAGGCTATTGTCGAGTGCATCGCCAGTTGTAACATGCAGAATCTCGAGAGTACATTGAATTCCGAGAATGACCGAACAGAGAGCTGTACGTATTGCTTTGCCATGAAGCTGTCTTCCTTGTGTTAGCCTGATAGCTGTGTTGCTGTCTGTTTCAGGTTGTTTCTCGTAGTTTTCTGACGACTGTAAACGTGTTTTTGGAGCTGTCCTGAGTAATACTGGCTAATAAATTGAGTTTTGTTTCTTCATCAAGTGTTGACGTCAATCGCTCCAAATCCATGAACTCTTGCGAAATGTAACAATATTTTAGCTAATTTTCTCTCAAATTGTCAGCTTTTGGTGATATCTGCATCTGATCATATTAACTGAACAGTACCAAATATTCTAATTCAAATTAATTTACATCAAAAGAAACTTTTAGTTATTACTTTATTGGATAGTTGCTTTTTAGAACAATTTGATCTAGTTGTGGACGCCGGAAAACTTTATGTAATTAATCAACTGCTGTTGACAAACAGTGTCAGAATCGGTGAAAAACACAGGTTCTGCTATAATTACAATTTATATTAAGAAGTAAGAAAATTTAACTACCTCTTTAATGTTAACAAGCATAATAGTGGTGATATATTAGGTTGGGGGGGGGAAAGAATCTTTAGGTTTTAGATGACAGACAGTTTATTTTGCCAGCACTTTATCTTGGCATAAAAAATCTCATAAAAATTGATTGAAAACTAATACAGTACAAAGTCCATAATCCGGACGTTCATTATCCAGAATGATCTGTAATCCGGACCTCATAGCCACAAACTTACGCATGCGCATTTAATGCACGTGTCTGCTACGCATGCACATAAAGCATTTACCCATGCATACTTCCGATAGTGAAGAAAGTGACAGAGAGGTTATTGACAATGAAAACATTTTGATTGACAAGTTAGTCGGTATTCTCGACACAGCAATTACAGGACTTGAACAGTGAAAATTTGTAACTGAACAAGAAATGATGTCTATTTATAGAATTAAAGAGAAAGTATTAGCACAAAAAACGAAGCAACTTAAAAAACTTAACATTGAAAGAAATGTTTAATAAAGTAAACAAATAAATATTAAGCTTTTTTTTTTTTTTTTTTTTTTTTTTTTTTTTTTTTTTTTTTTTTTGTAAATTTTGATACCCTTTAGATCATAATTGCTCTTTATTTCATAAATTACAGTTTCGTATTTTTAATTGCATAATTTCTACATGCCATCTTACCAGATTTAATTTGATCTATAATCCGGAATCGCTGAAGTCCCGGCGAGTCTGGATTGTGGACTTTGTACTGTACTTAGCTGCTATTTCATGAATATTACGGCACAATGTCTATTTTGTGTTTGCGACTGTAAAAGTAAAAGAATGGGTAAAACAGCCTAACTGTACTATTCCTACATGCTTGTATGATAATGAAGCTGATATATAACCAACTAAAAACTGTAGGCGAATATGCTAACAAGCTAAATTACTGTAACTGGCAGAACTCCTGGGGCCATCTAGTGAGGGAAAAATACTTTAAATGAATTCCTAACACTAAACTTAACCTTCTCCACAAGGCATTTAATTTTCTTAAAGCAGAATCTTTCAACTCTCCTAAACATGAAAGATCTACCTTTAAGGCATAGTTACAATATCTACCAATTTCATCTGTTTTTGTGGGTTTTCTGAAAGTCCTTTTCACATATCATGGCTTCCCTACTTTCAGGGTTTTTTAATTTCGGTAATTTGTTTCTCAAAATTTTCTGAGAGTTTTATCTAGGTTGTTTTCTTTCTTTATCAATCCACAATGAACCTTGTTTTCAGTCTCAGTTGAAATACTTCCTGACACAACAAAAACAAGAACTGTGTCTTGTAATATATGTCTTGTAATATAATATTTGGTTTACAGATATGAATACGGCCCAGTACCAAAAGCTCATAATAAATTTCAGCTCAATTTTGTTTTGCTATCATTTGTATCAAGTTTCATTTTGGCTTTAAGCTTAGCCAATTCTGATTCATTCTTTGACCTTTCAAATATTATTCTTTCTAGTTCAGTAAGCTTTGGCCTTACTTTGCTTTCTCTTTTCAATTATAATGCTTGCTATCTCTGTTACTAACTCTCGTTTGGTTTCATATATCTCACTCTTATGAATAATATCATTTAAATATGTTGTCATCATTTTTGTTGACATTTAGATTTATTTCTGAGGCAATAAGCCTTATATCTTCTTAGCAACCTTAAATAACATATTATTTGTTATGCAACAGAAGAATCACTTACCTCTGAAATAATTTGCTTATTGTAGAAGGTTGATGAATATCCAATAACAGCACTATGATTGTTGAAAAGAACAAAGCAGATAAACTCAAAAACACACTCCACTTTTTCAAGGATTAGTAATATCTCTCGCAAATTCTTAGAATACAAAACATAATAATTTTACAATAATTTTAAAATAATTGTAATAATAATAAATTTTCAATATGCTGATGATAGAACAAAATACAAGTTATCCCCAATAATGCATGCTGATCCTCCAGTTTGACGGACCGCTTTTGTTAAGTCACACAATAAAAAATTCAATAAGTAACTTCTCAGAGGACTATAGATTGTATAAATTTATTAATAATCAAATTTCTCATGAAAGCCACTTGTGGCTTCCATGATATTGAAACCACAACTCAAAAAGCATCCTTACTGATCCACAGTTTGATGATGACTCATTATTGCGGCTTCCATGATATTGAAACCACAACTTAACAACATCCTTACTGATCTACAGTTCGATCATGACTCATTATACAGTCATTACATATACCGACAGGGCATATCTCCTTTTGCATAACATATTATGTAGCTGCATTTGGTGCATTACAGAGGCATCTGGCACCAACAGTATTGACTTTTTAATCAGATCTTTATCCTGAAAAGAATTAAATTATTTCTCTGTAGTCACTAGTAATTACATATACTTATATAATTGCGACGCCCAGTGGCACAATGGCTAGGGTGTTGCGCAGCTGCACCACAGGTCCGCGTTCGATCCCTGGGCTGGGCAAGGTTGACTCATCCTTTCATTGAGTGGGTTGATAAGAGACCAAGTTTGCTTGGGGACTAAACACCGGGGGTTCTGCGACAAACTGACCACTTGTACAGGGCATAGGCTCATGTAACCCTGGGCCCACGGTAAAGAAAGCAGATTTTCGGGTACTGCAGGCCTTGGTTCACTAGGGCTGTTGTGAAACTGAGTTTAGTTTATGTAACTGCATTCAGTATACGTTTATTCTTTTGTGGTTTTTACATCTAAGTTATTCCACATGTGAATTAAAGTTAATGATTTTTCATCCAATGATTTAATGTAATGAAGTTTGTGTGAAGGTCTCATCTGCTAAAGTAAATTTTGTACCTCATTCTGCTTGCTCAGTTCATCTCTTGTATAACATTTAAGAAGTAAATTATATTTTATTAATTTATCTTTTACTATTATTTATTTTTTATTATTATTTATCTTTTATTGTAACTTCTTATGTGTCAGAAAAATTTTGAAATATATATCAACATTATTGCATTAAGTTATTCATAGTTTAATACATTCAGTTTTAATATTTTTTATTTAATGTTATTTGTATATAACAGGTATATTTTCCATGTTGGAATCTGTTCCTGATAGTCATAAATACAAATTAAGTATTTTTCAACCCTTTGAACCTTGTGCCTTCTTTAGAATTGTGCGGAAAGAGGTGAGTAATTTTTTAAAATTTTCTTGTATATGCGCCGTATTCATATAAATTAAATGTATGCTTGATTTGTATTAATATTTGTTTGTGATGAAATTTTACTATATTTAAAATTTCTTAAATTCCAGGTATCTTGTTTTTATTTTAATAGAGAACTTGAAAAGTAATGTTTTCTTTTGTAATAGATATATAAAAGAGAACAGATGATACACTGACTACCAATAAGTATTTGGATACCTATGCAAATGACGATATCTGCGGTCCTAAGGTATGTCACAGACTCAGCCGGTATATATCGTGTAGGGAACAGCATCGGCTTTAGTCGCATGCAAGATACCTCGCAGTTTGGAGCTCTCTGATTTTGAGAAAGGTATAATTATCAGGTATCACAAATATGGCCGATCCTTAAAGGACATATCTAGGGATCTGAAGTACCCAAAATCGACAGTGGTCTATATGTGATTAAGAAGTGGAAGGTGAGCGGTGATTGTTGGAATGTGCCCCGAGTCGGCAGACCAACGAAACTGGGAGATAGAGACTGACGAGTGCTGTCCAGAGAAATTTGGAAGAACTGCACCCAACCGATGGCCCTCATCCACGAGGAGTTTCAACAGGCATCCATGAGTATTGTTTCAATGAATACCATCCGTAAGGAAGCACATCTGCTTGGTTTTCATGGTCGTGCTGCTGCCCATAAGCCTTTGATCACAAAGTCCAACCGTGCTGCTCGGTTAATGTGGTGCAAAGCACATCGAAATTGGACCGTAGATCAGTGGAAACGGGTTCTTTGGAGTGACAAATCAAGGTTCACCCTTTACCGTTCGGATGGCAGGGTCTGGGTCTGGCGTCTACCTGGAGGTCTCCTGCCAGAATGCATTGTGCCAACAGTCAAGTTCGGCGGAGGTGGAATTATGGTCTGGGGGTGTTTCTCCTTGTATGGACTGGGACCCTTGGTCCCCATTCATGGTAAGCTCAACTCCGATGCCTACTGCACTATTTTGGATGACAATGTGCTTCCTACGTTGTGGCAGTTTTACGGGTTGGACCCCTGTTACTTTCAGGATGACAGTGCCAGTTGTCATGTTTTGACGTTAACCAAGGCTTGGTAAGGTGCCAATGGAGTTCATCGAATGGACTGTCCTGCCCAGAGTCCAGACCTGAACCCTATCGAGAACCTCTGGGACGAGTTGCATCGCCGAATTCAGGGGTGCACTATCCATGCAAAATCGGTGAAGGAACTTCTATGTCTTCTCCAAGCTGAGTGGAAGAAAATACCACTAGCTGTCATACAAAGACTTGTGGAAAGTATGCCCGGAGAGTCCATGCTGTAATTACCTCTCGTGGAGGCTCTACCAACTATTGATTTTGAATAAAGTTAGTTTTTCTTTTCTATCACAGGTGTCCAAATACTTATTGGTAGTCAGTGTAGTTTGTGATCATTCGTTGGCACGGTAAATAATTTACTATTTTTTGTCTTAATACACTGGCAGTTTCTTAAGCAGTTGTATGCATTTGTGGGGATTTTCTTCGTAATAATTAAAAATGTAAAGAGCAAAACTACAGTGTGCGGACCAAATCTTGTGGGATGATATTGTTTTTTTACAATGAAAAATAAATTAGTGGTAAAATTTAATGCAGCGACCGATATTAGAGTTGAAAAGTTGTGAATAATGACCATGATTGATGCTACTATCATATTCTCTTGTTTTTCGTTGTTTTTAAGACCATTCCCAACAGGCAATGTTTGTGCTTTAGACCAAAACATTTCTAGGGTTAACAAAGAAATCTTTGCCAAAGCAGGAATGGCTTCGTCAGACCAGAGAGGGAAAAATATACTTGAAGTTTACTTTACAGGGGCTGTCCATCCAGCCTTAGTATCTTTTGTGCTTGTGTGAAATAGCTGTTGAGCTGGTGTGAAATAACTGTCGAGGTTTGTCAAGAGCTCAAACTTCTGTAATACCCCCCCCCCCCCCCCCGTTGTATCAGCATATATCAAATCAATGGTTTGTGAAAATTGTTTAATGGATTATTTATTTTGGGTAAAAAAATCTATGAAAATCCCGGTTTAAATTATTATAAAGATTTTTGTTGAAAAATAAATTCTTTATAGGATTCGAATAAAAGAACTTATGTTCTTTAGTTTTTGTATCATATTCTTCAATTTCCTGTGTACCTGGTAATTTGGTGATGAATTTCCTCTGCATGATTTAGCAGTGCAGTAGTTAACTTGTTCACGTTACATGTATGGAAGTTTTCCTTCTGTACATGCATGTTCTCTTTGCTTGTGTGCTATGCCAGACTGTTCACAGTTTTGCTATAGGGGTGTGTGGTATTGTCTATCAGTGTACTCTGTGATATTTTGTTCTTTTTATTTTATTCATTACCTATGTCACTTTCAAAATGAAATAAGAAGAGAAAAGTAGACCTCAAATGCCATGCTTCTTTTTCAATATCTCATCTGTGGGAAAGTTTAATTGAGTTTATTCAAACTGAGAGATATTTCTTTGAAAGAGAAAAATAGCCTGCAATTTTTATTATGGAACAGTGAATGGGTTTGGAAATTAGCATTTGTCACCAAATGATGGGATGTCTCAACATTTCAATTTATGATTACATGGGAAAACAATACTCATGTGTGAAGTATATTCTATTGTAAAGCAGGGTTTATACGGTCCTTGAAAGTCCTTAGGTTTCTTGGAATCGATTTTTGGTCCTTAAAAGTCTTTGATTTCGGCCAAATTCGGCAGAAGGTCCTTAATTTTAATCATCTGAATTTTCTGTTTGTTTTTAAGACTGCCATTTTGAATGTGAATTAACATTTTGGACAAATATTTTTGGAAATTCTTTGATGAGTGAATATGATTGTTCCTATTTCTAATATAAACGGTGGGATACTCAAGTTGAGCAAAAAGTGAAATAAGCATTTTGAAATTATTCATTTTTTCTAATTAAGGGCTTTTAAACAACTTTTCGCTTTTGGGAATGTGAATGCTTTATTAAACAGTTCAAAATTTGGCGACATATCAAAATTTTGGCTATTTTAAGATCGGTTTCTATAGAGAATTTTAAATTCGGAAATCTGGGAATTTTTCGACGATATTTTTTTAAATATTATAACATCGATTAATTTCGTTAAAATAATGATAACATATTGAAATTATATTCAAGAAATAACATTAAAATGAAACATTTTTATTTTTCGCTATCATATTATAAAGTGACTTTATTTTTATTTTGGCAACTTATACAATATTTAAATCTAAAAAATAAACAAGGTGCTAAATAAACAAGGTCTTAAATGCATAATTTGTGCTTTAGCACAATTTACAAAACAATTCTTAGCAAAAGCAAAATAGCTGTGTAATTAATTATAAATGCCTTTTAAATTTTTTAATAGTAACGTTTTTCCCCCACTTAATTGTCTCAATACGCATCAGTTTTCTGTATAAAATTAAGTTTACTTTTTTTCTCTGATTTTTTTTTCAACGTATTTCTGGCTTTTTTGCTGTTACAGAATTGTCAAAGGTAGTTTTTATTTAAGATATTAGGCATTGTGTGAAACTGATTAGTTGTATCTTACAAACATTAAAAACAAACCTCTTCATTTGATGTACGAGACACAGATGGCGTTGGCTGTCATTGAAGTAGGAAGAAAAAAAGGGGTTTTCTCTTTTGACCTCGTGACGTGAACCAATTAAGAAGTGTAATAACTTTAGGGGCCAGAAAAATTTCCCGCAAATTGTTAAATAATGTATATATTTTGTAGTGTAGATAGAATATAATTAGATAAATCAACTTCTTAGAGTTTTTATTCTGTTTCAACATCACACTACCCAGGTAAGTGAGCAAGTTTTGTCTTTAGTTTTTCTGGATTGCTCCGTATCTGGGATGAGTGAAGGAAGTATTTTTATTATAGTGATATTTAATGATAAGACTATGTTTTAGAAATAACACATTGCAACTTGGAAAGTTTAGAAGGATTTGAAGGGTAAGATTTATAGACCCACGAATTTAGAAGATTCCAGAAAGATGTCTTAATGGTATTAACACATAATGGATGTATTTTGCAGAACGTTTATGATGAACTTTTAATTTTTGGAGAATTTTTGGAAGAACAATGAAAACATAATATTTGAATGTTTTACTTCTGATACTATTTGAATACTATACTATTAACTGTGAATTACCTCTGATACTATACTATTTACTAAGTCTCTTTCTTAGCATTTATTTACTAAGTCTTTATCCTTCCTTTGTTTTCTCTACTTTTCACTAGATACAAGCATCGAAAATATCAAAAATGCTTCTAATCTTATCATGTGGGCAGGCATTTATAGAAAGGAATTTTATTATTAATAAAGAAATTGAAAGCTGACAATTTAAAAGATTCATCATATAGGTTTCAATGCATCATCAGTGGTGCAGCTAGGGTGGGGCAATGGGGGACATCTGTGCCCGGGCGCAGCATCTGTGGGGTGCTAAATTGATATTTAAAAAATTTAGAATGTTTTTCATTCTTGGCATACAGAAGGGGGATGCAAAATCTTCAATTGTTCCCGGCCACTGAAAACCCTAGCTACGCCTCTATACATCATGCACAGGTCTGGCGCTACACATTTTCTCACCTGATGCAATATTTGTGGATCCTAAATTCTGCTGCCTTCCTAAATTCTAAAATTTTGCCTTTTCTAGATTTTGTTGTTCGGTGTGTCACTAAATTCTAAAAATTCTGCTACACCGGCTCTGTAACCGGCCCTTACCATGTATCATCTCATATTTATTCTGAATGTTCATATTACTAAAGGAATAAAATTAGCACCTTTTCCTGTACATTCTAAATGCATTTAGTTTTTTAGAATAACAGAAATCTTTAATTAAATAAAAAAAATTTAAAATGAAGAGGAAACATATTAAGAAAGAAACAGAATACATAAAGAGAAAGAAAATTATTCTTCAAAGATATGTATGATTATTATTATCTAAAGTAACCAATTATTTATAAT